TGGCACCTTTAAGACTAACAGAAGTATTGGGAGCATAAGCCATCTGAAGAAGTGAGGTTCTTACCCACGAAAGCTTATGCTCCCAATACTTCTGTTAGTCTTAAAGGTGCCACAGGACCCTCTGTTGCTTTTTATAAATAGAATAGTTACACTGTGTAAACTTTAAAATTAGAAGTACAGTACGCTTAAAGGGGTCAATCAGATGAAAATCATACTTTAAAAATTCTTGCCCATCTTGCTAGCAGTTGAATTTATTAGAACTGTCATAACTTGCCTACTCTTTGCACCTTGCTCAACTTGACCATTGAGACTAGATTTTTTTTTTTTATAATGTTGATGAGATCATTACGCAAACTGGAATAGGTGTAAAAAACAGATTAAATGAAATGGCATTTGTACAAGCCTGACCCTGAAGGGGGGGAGGAGGGGGAGGGCAGAGTAACTGGGTATTTACAAAATTGCTGAGATGCATACAGCCATTTTAAGTATTACTAGATTTATCCTGACACCCTTCTTAACCCCAATCCTTGTCCCAGTTGCATGTCCCCTTTCATTGCCCACTCAGACTTCTGACTGTCCTCCCAGAATTTTGATGGAATTCGAAAAGTATTTATCACATGCTTACTTTCCAGTCAGTTTTGCTTTCTGGTTCTTATGTAATTAGCACTGTGTATTGTTTTGGAGTGTAAACACTGAAAGGTGGGATATTTGTTTAAATCTCACAGAACCTTGTTCTTGCACACTTAATCTTTTGAATTAAGTGTTTATCAAACCTTCTTAGAGAACATAAATTCATGGTCTAAAATGCTTGACAGCCTCTTTAAACTCTAATTGTCCAGTAAATAGTAAGTTAGATAACGATTTTGTATTCCTCAATCTGATATACTTGCAAGTTATGATGTTATTTATTTCATATTCCTTACAAATGCCTGCAAGACCAATTAGTCTTTTAAACATGGAATGTTAATGTTCAACAAAATTCTTTAGTCTGAAGAGAAACCACTAAGTTCTCTCCAGATTGCCTGTTCATGTTTAAAATGTTACTGCTTAAATAATAAACTAAATGGACCCACATATGTTTTATTAAGACACCACTTAAGAGTAGGGGCAAATAGAATATAAAATGGGCTTCTAGTTTTATTGCTGGCCTTGAGCATGTGTTAAATATCCAGCCGGGAATTAAAATAGATCAAACATTACCATTTATGTAACATTTTGAGAATGTTAATTTTATTTTACTTCTCAGTTTCGTCGTGAAGAAGATGCAGAAAAGGCTGTGATTGATCTGAACAATCGCTGGTTTAATGGTCAGCCAATTCATGCTGAACTTTCACCTGTGACTGACTTCAGAGAAGCTTGTTGCCGTCAATATGAAATGGGGTAATGAAATGATACTTGTTACAGCTTATTTATTATAGTAGCTTAGAGATACCTCCAAGTTAAGCTTTTCATGAGTGTAAGGTTTCTCAAGTGCATTTCCAAATGATGCATTCAGAGAAAATACACTTAAAGCTACACTAACATCTAGATTCTAGAGCAAGCTCAATTCACATGCCTTAGCACCCACGTGCACTCAGTCTCTTCATCTCTACAAAAAATTTCTCTTCACTTTTGGACATTCATGCACCAGGCACACAGATAATTCCATGTAAATTATGCTCAAGTGTAACTCTGACTTCAGGGCAATTAAGATATTTTACCAAGAGTCATACTTCCCAATGTTTAATGTTACATTAAAAAATCATAGATCAGTTAACGTAACCACAGGTTTATATAGAAGAAAAGCTAAGAATATAAATTGGAAATGCTTTCTTTGTGGTAATTTTCTTCTACTCCACAGAGAGTGTACGCGAGGAGGTTTCTGTAACTTTATGCATTTGAAGCCCATTTCCCGAGAATTGCGACGTGAATTATATGGACGTCGTCGTAAGAAGTAAGCATTTGTATTTTTAATTTAAAGTCAACTGATGCAAATAATTTAAGGATTATTTCCCTAAACTTTTTGAAGACATAAAGAATAGGATCTGACTTTGAGGAAAGTTGTTTGTCATTTTTTCCTCTCCCGATTGTTATGGAATCACAATCTGACTCTTCTGTAAATATTCAAGACTTAATCTGGCTTTATGGCAAATTTAAAAAATAATCAAAAATGGAGGGTGTCAGAGAGAGTCAGTAATGTGAAGTACAGTTTCCAATCAGTTCATATCCATTTCATGTTGGGAAAGTGAAAGTGATGTCTGATTGGTGCACGTGTCAGGTGATCTTGGTTCCATTCCTAGTGGACAGTTGCCAACATCACAAAATTCCATATCAGTTGGTGCTACTGTTCCCCCTTGGTAGGCGTGCTGTGAATAGACAGAGTTCTACGCAGTGGCAAAAAGGTTTCTGTTAATCTTAATTCAGGTACGCTGGCGAACGTTGCATTGCTGCTATCAGTATGAAACCTCACTTTCCAGTATTATCAATTAAACACTTTCACAAACACAAAAATTCATATTTTTCTAAAAATGCTGTTAAATTGTCTTGCAGTATTTTGGGAATTGGAGGAGTAAACTTAATTGTGAAAAGTTCATATTGCATTGTTTCCTGCTTTCCTGAGAAATTAAGTATTATTTAATTTTAAATGGAAAGTGTCAGGGATACTAAGAACATTATAATATTGTAAAAAATGTGCTGCTGACTTAAGAGCCATTTGGTTACTTTTCTGGTTCCTGACCCCTCTTCCCTTAGTCAGAAACACTTGAGCTTGGCCTCTCTTTCTGAAAAGCCTTCCTCATCCTTTCTTGTGAGATTATGAATAGGGATTTTCAAGAATGGATTATGTATATTTAAAGGTGACCTGCAAGTATTGTAACCAAAATGAGACTTGTGCCAAATGTCCCAAATTACAAGGGGCAAAGTAAACATTCAGCACAAATGATCTTGCTTTTTCATCTTTTGCCTTACACATATGCATTTCTACCCTATCTCAAAAAAAAAAAAAAAGCAACACACAGTTTTGCTGTGACACACCAGAATGCATCATTCTTTCATGTCCTAGATCACCAAACTCCCCTGAAATACAAATTTGGTGTATTCACAAGTTGGGGCAAACACAGTTGCTCAGTTCCACTTTGAGCTCCACAGCAATGCCTATAAATAAAAAACTCTGTAGTTCATATTTAGTAGCGTAACTTTAAAAAAATTTAAATGTATAATTTTCCATTTGGTAATAAAACTGACTTGCTAAAGCTTTTCAAAATCCTTCTCAAATATTTTTGTGACCTTCCTTCCTAAGAGGCTGGCTCTGGAGCTCTGAGTAGCTGTGACATCAGAGATGCATTTTCGGGCTCTTGCAGTTCACTGGCCTTACTATGTTGGTGATGGAGAAGGTGGAACTGAAGAGGAGAAAATGCTGTGGCCTCAGGCTACTTTGGAAATTCAGTACAGAAAATCCTGATTTGTTAGGGGTTTTTTATATATAGCTGTCCCTATGGCTGTAGAATTGCAGTGTACCGTTAAATCTGTAAATGGCTACAAAAGACTTCTCACGGTGCTCCAACTGGTTCTGCATAACAGTGCAATTAACTTAGAGGGGTGCTTACAGGGAACTGACCCGTTTCTGGCCATTCAGACAAGTGACTGCAGTTAACAGTTTTCACTATACATACTGACCCTTCACTGTCTAAAACTGAAGAATTCTGTAATGATGGCCTTGTGGGCTTGAAAGTGCTAGGTTCTTAGGTGGTGGCAGTACCTAATCACTACTTTATTTCAAACTCTACTCCCTTTTCTGGTGTTTTCATTTGAACGATTGATCCTTGGTACTCTGTAGAATATTGCTGCATTGTTTCACCATATTTAAGAACTACAATCTTAATGCTTTTTTGCAGGCATAGATCTAGGTCAAGGTCCCGTGAACGTCGTTCTAGATCCAGAGATCGTGGTCGTGGAGGTGGTGGAGGAGGAGGCGGCGGTGGCGGCGGCGGCGGCGGCGGAGGAGGAGGAGGACGAGAACGTGATAGGAGGCGGTCAAGAGATCGTGAAAGATCTGGTCGATTCTGAGCCATGCCATTTTTACTATTGTGTCTGGTAGAAAGTGTTGTAGTCAATTGACCAAACAAGTTCCTAATGAGATTTTTTTTTTAAAAAGATGGGCTTCTGAATAAAAATTTGTAGTGATACAGTATTCTTTGTGTAACTTGTTTCTTGTGGGGGAAGTCTTTTTTAACTGTCATTCCTCTTTCTTGACAAATAGCAGGATTAACTATGCTTGCGGTAAAGGTGGCAAATGTATTGGAGGTGTGCAAGTTTTTACATTCAGGTATGAATTAACTGTTAAGGAAAATGTGCATGCCTGTGTATATAATATAAAATAGTATATTATATACATGGATAAAGTGCTATATTGCTTAAGAGACAGTTACAATTTAAGTTTCCCTTTTCTGCTATGCTGTCTGCTTATTTAGGTTAGTTTAGGCACATTTAAAGGAAGGCTGTGCAAAGTGCATTTATTTACTCAGTAGAAATGCTAAGTTGCAAAAATATGTATGTTAATAGAAGTCTGTGCACTGTCTATCACTGTGACTGTGGCATTTACAATAAATCCAATTCATTGGTGTAAAATCTAAAGCCTATTCTCTAAGCCCTCTGGAGTAGTTGAGTTGCTACTCCTGGCTGTGCCAGAATTCATAGTTAAGGGGTTTTTTTTATTCTTCACACACACACACACACACCTACCTGCCTCAGGTGATTCCTTAGAAGGACAGTGTATATAGTGCAGTATTCAGGCTAAAGTTATGAATGCAGTATCTTATAACAGAACATAAAGTTATCATGCAAAAGCTCATGCTCCATACAGCAGGATGAGTTCTGTATAAAAAATATCTGAGTATCAGATCCACCTTCATGGAAAGTTTCTTTTACTTGAAGTTCCATTGGCTGTCCTTTAACTGAAAGCATATCAGTATTCAGGATAAGTGGTAAGTTGGGCGCTAGTGAAAAGTACACTGTACCTTCTCCATCTGTTCCTCACTTCTAAGAGAAGATCTGACCTGTAGTTAAAAGCATCTTTTCCTACATAAAGCACTTGCATAGCAAAGCTAATGGACAAGAGCATTTTATTACATTTTTAAGTTAAGATATTTTTAGGCTTACTCTGTTTACATTCTTCATTGCAACTGTGAATCACAGCTGTACTTCATAAAGCAAAATACATTTTATGGGATTCAGTGCCTCTTCTAGCTCTAAAGCCTCTAACTGATGAGTTGCTGGAACAGCTTAAGTGCTATATAACTTGTACAGTAGCTGACTTTAGTAGATGTATAATCAGACTTGGTCTGCTTATCAATTCATGAAATAGCATAATGGGTTACAGAAAGTATCCACCAGTTACAACTTCCTGTACATCAGGAATTATTTAGCTTTCAGAAAGGGAGGAAATTTACTAATGCTACTACTCATTAATACAAGGTTTTGAAAACAGAACTTGACTAAAAGTGGTTGAAGAATAGCTCTATCTAAATACAGTGGATATAGACATTTTGTAGCCAGGTTAATAATTAACTTACAGTTTTTTTTCTTTTATCCCCAAAAGATAAACATAGGAAAAGACCGCACTCGCTGGCACTTGGAATTGGCAAATAGTGATAAATAATACTGAAGGAGGGAAGCAGAAAATCTTACATATCTTACCTCTTTAAGGTGAACTTTTGGGCCAAAATAAAAATTGAGTTATTCCCCCATTTGTGCAGAATGCCTTCACTAACCAGGTTGGGGGGAAATCTGCACATACAGAAACTTGGTTTTAAAGGCTAATGGGAAAGCAAAAGAAGCTTTTCTCTTACTGTACCATAAGATGTGTAAAGATGGCTTTGATGTTCTATGTTTCAGTACACTAGAAATCAGGTCCTGGCTTACTGTCCCCTCAAGGACTTCAACAATGTTTCGAGGACCTTGGGTGGCAATATCACAATGAGCTGAAACCTGGGTGTAGCCCTGTCACCAATTGAGAGGTTGAGATTGTTAACTTGGCCCTCTAATTCACCTCAATGTACATGTTAAGATTTACCCATTTTTCTCTTCAGTGACATTCTGTGTTACTTAATACCCCCCTTCTAGTTAGATTGCAAGATTCAGCAAGATAGGGACAGTATTCATGTGCATTTAGGCAATGTCTACAGATAATCAGGGATTATTTTCTTACGTTTTGCGTGGCAAAAAGCATGTGTAAGACCTTATCTACACCACAAAGTCCTGATGCTAACTAGCTAAACTGATATAAGCCAGTGTCTACACAGTGATTTGTACCAGTTTATTTAAATCATTTTAGCCTGGTACAGCTTTTGTTTGTAAACAAGACCTAAACTTGTACACATCACAAGTGAATTGCAAAGAGCACAATTTCTTGTGCTTTGCTTTATTTTACTTCAAACTTTTTCTCCCTCTCATTGAAATTCACTGAATGCATCATTTTGTGGCCTTGTGAATTAATAATGTAACTCAAATATGCATTCAGGGACACTGATAGCAAACCAGGGGATGTCATTGAATTTCACAAGGAAGAAAAACTTTTACAGCTTGTACATTTCCACAACCTGACTAGTGAGAGCACAGAGCACAAATCTAGCACGAACTCAATTTTCATTGTAGCCTCATCTGTAATACTGCATACTACATTAGTGAAATTGTTCAATGTGAACTTTTAAAAGGATTTGGCACAAATGTTGTCACTTCCTCAAAGCCATTTAAAACTGCTAATTAGGCTTATTAAAGGAAATGGAGAAACTTCACTTTATTATCCTAAGCCCCCTCTCCCCATATACAAAGTGTAGAACAAGGAATATTTTTTTGAAAGGTACCTACTCATGACCACTTCCAAATGTCAAGATTTCTTCTGTTGAAAAACATCACTTTTAGCTCATGGAATTTCTTAATCTCAAGTAAATGACAGCATATGGTACCTTTTGATGTCTGGATATGCTTAATTTTAAATAAACTCATAATTCCAAGTGACTTCCTCTTATTTGTATTAGTCTCAAATCTGATTCCTCTGTAAAATGCTGCTTGTCCATGAATATGATATATGTTAAGACTGTAAAACCAAATGGAGAACTTGTTCAAAATAAAGCTTTTTTGATACATAACCTGCACGTAATAGAAACATAACCCTTCTTTTAAACCAGACACTTTTCTTTAAAACTGTGCCAGGAAGGTTGTCAGGTGCTAAAAATTTTAAATATCCCACCTGTCAACGAAACCATTATTTTTATTTGAGACAGATCTCTCTTTTTATATAATAATATTTTCATTCTAGGGAATGGTCTTTGTTTCCTCAATCTAAAAACAATTATAAATCCATGTATAATTTGGGCACTCGTGTTACAAAGTGTAGACCGCTGTCTTTCCTTATGCAAATCAATAAGGGATGTACTTGAGTAAAGGCTACAGGATCGGTTTTGTATTTGATTGTAGAAATCAATCTTGGCTAATACCACATCACTTTTATTTAAGAACATGACAGAAGGAGCTTGCACAATTTAGGAAATAAGTAACTAGTGTCTTAAAAGCCTAATACATTCCCTTTCTCCCTGTCATTGTACAACACAACTTGGTAAATTGGTTTCAGTCAAGGGTTAGCGATTGTAGCTGGTTCCTCTGCTGACATTGTCACTAGGTTTCAAGCTATCTGCACAGACAAGTTAAATCTGAATATCCTGTCCTTTTATTCTACATATGTATAATCTCACTGTACAGTGTAGAAACTACTTTAAAAGCCTTCAGTGCCTGAGAGCTGCATCTTTGAATTTTTTTTAAAAGTAATAATTCTGCTACTTGGGAGCTAAATGTTTATTGTACAATATCACAGCCCTGCCTCTGTTCTAGATAGTGATTTTTGAAAGTAGAATTCCTAAGTTTGTTCTAATTAAATATACTCATTATAACTAGAAATACTAAATGTCTATTTCTCTTTTCTGACTAAATTAATATCACAAATTTAGAATTGTTTACTTTGTATATACAGAAACATCTTTGACATGGTTGGTGGACTAGTCAACAAGGCTTTTTTGTTTAGTGGGGTCTCTGTTTTTCCACAGTCACTGTTTATTTTAACAATTGTCTACAATGGTAAGTCATGTATATGGAAATCAGCAAAACCCATATCTCATGATTCCATGTGTGTGTATCACAGGTCCAGTCTTTGTCCTCATTGATGTCAGGAGTGAACCCCCATAATACATGATCTACCATGCTGATTTTCCTTAACAGTACAGTAGTGGTGTTTATCTGTAATGGTGGTCAATCTGCATACTTTACCCTTTTTTTCCTGGATTATTTTAAAATCTGTTTTAAAACATTTTATATGTCAAATACACTCACTGAAGTTTGTACTAATTAGCACCCAGATCCAAAGGCAGCAAAGAGGTTTAGGCTTTTTCTGCACATACACAAGCCCTAATACCATTCATACAAATAAAATGAGCAGGATGTGGCCACTTACTGAACAGTCAAAACTTGGGAACTCTAAAGTCTCCTGTGCTGCACCTCCTGTGTCTCATTCCTGTTCTTGTAGACAACTCTGTACAGGACAGGCTATGCCTCCTCCCCCTGCCCCCCCCCCCTCCTTTTAGTTCTTGGTGGTTCTGCCCACTGGTAAGTTTCTAGCCCTTGTGTTGCAGAGAAGGACTTGAATGTATGTGATATTTCCTAACCACCGTTATTTAATGCTTCTCATCCACTTCCCTCCTCCCAAGCCATCCAAAGCTAGTTTTGGTGGCCGTTAAAAATTCTACATATTGAGCAAATTTGTGGCTGTGAGGTGCTAGGGCTGCTCATCATGTGGTTGAAACTGAGTTGGCTCTTTTGCTGAGCAGCCAATAGTAAACTTTGGCAACAAGGAGGAGCTACTCAATAATGAAGAGGCATCACCTGAACTAAGCACAAGATAGTTTTCCAGTTGTGGCTCAAATTGACTCTCTCAGTGGCCTTAACCATTTTTAGCTTTGATAGTTGTAAAATGGGGATGATAATGAGGATTAATCATCACAACACACTACAAGGGAGTTAGTCACTGATTATAAAACCCTATATAAATGCAAAATATTGTTGTCCACTTTGGCCTGAACGGTTAACCACTATTTAGGGCTTTGCAGGGTTGTCTGTAAGGAGGAAAAACTGAGTGAGGTATATACTTTGGTGCGATCCTGTTTGCCTTAGTCTGCTATTCTGTGTAAATTTTAAATTGCCATTTTTCCTCCAAAAATTGGTGCATTGTGTGGCTTGACACCTTATTAAACCCCTAGGCAAGAACTGCGTGTAATGTTATGAATTGCTACATGTGCCTTGAAATTCCTTGTTTGATTATCACTGGTTTATTGGGTAGGAGTGGTGCTACTCCTTTTCAAATTGAAGTAGCTGCTGCTACTGGAGTGGGATGTATTTCCCACAGTGAGTGGGAGAGGTGAGATCAGATTGGATGAAAACGCTACTCCTGCAGGAACAGGGTGCTGCTGGCCTACTATCTTTATATTACATGTAAAACATCAATTAGAAATTCACTGCTTATTTGAATTATTGACATCACAAGGCTACTGTGGCAGCATGCTTGTGTCTTCCTTAGGTTGGAGACTCAGGCCCAGATCCTCAGAGGTATTTAGGTGCCGAACTGAAATCAATGGAAGTTAGGTGTCCAAATATCTTTGAAGGTCTAGCCTGAGTCCTTAAAGGGCTGCAACTGTAGGTCTCCATTCAGCAAAGCACTGTACATTTTGGCCCCTGATGCTGCATATGGATAAATCCAGTGGGACTACTCATATACTTAAAGTTAAGCATGAGTTTGAGTTTTTCCCTGGGTCAGGGCCTGAGTGCTCTGTTCCTTTCGGCAGCCAACCCTTGTTTGCCCATTAAACACAACCAAACATTCTCATTTATTGTTGTGTGAAATGCTGTCAAATAATTTATTTCTACATATGTTCACTAATATCCCTCTAGGTCCTTCTGATGGCACCCATCACCAGAGTAACAGCAGCTGTCACAGATGCAGAGCTGGGGCATGTATGACCCTGATCCTGCAATAGCATCCGTGTGGACAAAGGGGCCTGCCTGAACAAGTCCAGTTGCAGGATTGGGGCATATAGCTGTAGCTAGCTCCCTGGCTTGGTAGGAAAAAAATTATTTTAGCCCTATTCCTTCTATAGTGGATGCTGGTGCTTATGTGATGGGCTAAAGGGATGGACCTAGGATGTGTCCTCTCACCAGGCAACTAGAAGGCTGGATGCTGCTGGCTCTGAGCTCACGCTGTGGCCTGAGCCCCGCAAACAAACTGGCTGACCAGAGCCTCCCCCAGCGGGCTCTCAGCCCCCTCGCTAAACACACGCGCAGGAAAGAACTTGCGCAGGGCCAGGGCAGCAGCAGCGACTCTGCTTTTCTATTGGTGGGGCGTGTCCCCCCCTCCGCCCCCGGCCCGGCCAATCAGCGCGCGTTCCCTCTCCAAAAGCTAGCGAGGGTAGCGACTGGGAGAATTCCCTTCGCACAGGCGCAGGGAAACAGCTGGGGGGCGGCCGCTGCTGCGGGCCGGGGGGTCTCATCCACGCGCAGTGGGGCTCAGGCTGCTGCCGCCGCTTGTCTCTTCCTGGCAGTCCAAGTAAGTGCAAGCGGCAGAGCTGCCGAGCTCGGATGGGGGTAGCGGGGTGAGGGACAAGGGGACTGGGCAGCCCGAGTGGGCTTCACGTTGGCTGGGGAGCTGCACCGCACTGCCGGGGGTTCGTCGTTGTTGCCTGAGCTGCGTGTTCTTTGCGGGGGGTGTCCCGTTCCTGCCAGTTTCCGATTGCATCAGCTTGTGTTGCAGGCAGCAGCTGATAGATGGGATTGCAAGAGGTCAGGTCACCCAGGTGGTAGTAGTTACAATGACGAATAGGTTCCGCTTTCCCTTCTTTTTTTCTTTTTTCTTTTCGTCTGATTTGGAGATTTCCCAAATGGGAGCGAAAGCATTCTGTGTGCCCCGGCCCCGCGCCATCGTTACAGCGCTATATTTCTCTTCTCCTCTCTCTTCTCTCCCCCCCCCCCACCCCCCATGCAGACAATGGTGGAGATTGGAATCAGCAGCCTCTCATGCTGGATGGTGTAGGGTAGGGGTTCTCAAGGGTTGGGACCCCTTGGGGATCCACCCCAAACCCTGCTTTGCATCCAGCATTTATAATGGTGTTAAATATATTTAAAAAGCCCTTTTAATGTATAAGGGGGGGTGTCGCACTCAGAGGTTTGCTGTGTGAAAGGGGTCACCAGTACAAAAGTTTGAGAACTACTGCTGTAGGGTGAACGATGATGTGATGGTTGGAGTTGGGGAACAAAGCTGTCTAGTTCTTGTTACTTTGTCCTCTGGTCTTAAGGCAATTAACTGCATGAAATAAACCACTTGTGCTGGTTGAAATCTGGAGAATGTTATCCTGGTGGATGAGATTTTGACCAAATGCCATGATACATAATATGTATATTGATGTGTGATAGTGTTAGTCTGGCACATATAGATACCAAGGTGCCAAGTTCCAGTCATCTTCTTTTATTCCAAGTCTTACTGAAATCCGTGGTGCTCATAATATGCTGCACTAGAAACAGGAGCTGCTTTAGGCACCTAGTGCGAACTAGAGTTACAGATAGCTTTTGCAGATGGGATGAGTGGATAGCTTTCTCCAGTTACAGTTCAGAGGGTAAATGGTGTTTGATTGGAATTTTGCCATAAAATCCGATGTATTAAATTCTAGTGTTTTTAAGATGGGTAGAGCTAATTAGAACATGATGCAATCTGCTGCACAGTAGAGAGAACGTTGCTGGATGGAAAAATCCTCTTATCAAGATGATTTCTTGTGTATTAATTTATCAAAAATATTATTTGCTGTATTCATCTCAGTAGAAGTTATCCTGATAAAAGAAGGATAGTAAATATTGTCTTTCCACAGGCCTGTGTGTGTGTGTTTAAAATGTATTTGGAGGTTATTTTGTTTCCTGGGGTGAGCAGAAAAACAGAAGGCGTAGGGAAATACTCGATAGCAATGGATGATTTGCAAGTAATATCGATTAATGGAAAGCTTGTGATGTCCAGGGGTTAACATTTTTGTGGGAGAGCCACTAGAAATGTAAAGAAAAGCACAAATTTGGAGGGGAAGACTGGGAGTTGACTACTGGGAAGCCTACATCTGTTGTTGAGTGAGTCTCCTTTGCCTGTTTGATAGCATATAGGTCATGTTTGGCTGCTTTATTGTGTTACTGTTCCAGTTTCTCTCCCTGTCCCTTACAAGCTTGGCATTAATTCTTTGTCTGACCATACTGGGCTTCCCTCTGCCAAAAACATGAGGGCTCTTACATGTTCTTCTTACAACACTTGTGTAGCTTGTTAAGGCTGGGGAATATGTTTTGTGTGTTTTATACAGCTCCCAGTACAGTGAGGCCCTGAATATGATTGGAGCCCCTGAGAGCTACCACAGTAAAAATGATTATTATAATGCCAATAAAACAATATTGAATTGACCAGTAATAGATCTGATTATCCCCCCCTTTTTAAATAAATACAGTCCCTCATTTTTTCTGTATATCCCGTATCTTTCTAAGGGCTTGGTCCTGCAAGATGCTGAGCATGCTGGCCCTAATCCAATGAAGCAATTAACCATGTGCTTCACCTTTAAATAAGTAATTGTCCTATTTATGCCAATGAGACTCTGGTGAATTGGAGTCACTACTCAGCACCATGCAGGACTGAGCACTCAATAAGGGGAAGGAAATTCCAGAGTAGTGAGGGGAGTGAAACAAGGGCCTGGTGACCTCATATATCATGAGAATAAAATGGGGGAGGGGCAAGATGGAGGGACAGAAATTGGGGTGGGGAAACAAGCATGTGCTGCTGGGTGAAGGTGGGTTTTTTTGTTTGTTTTTGATTTTTATAAAAAACTCAGTTGCTTAGTCTAGTAATTCCGGGACTGAGGCTAGGTCTACACTACCCGCCTGAATCGGCGGATAGAAATCGATCTCTCGGGGATCGAATTATCACGTCTTGTCGGGACGCGACAATCGATCCCCGAATCGACACTCTTACTCCACCAGCGGAGGTGGGAGTAAGCGCCGTCGACTGGGAGCCGCGGAGGTCGATTTTGCCGCCGTCCTCACAGCGGGGTAAGTCGGCTCCGATATGTCAAATTCAGCTACACTATTCGCGTATCTTAATCGACCCCCCTCGTAGTGAAGACCTGCCCTAAGAAACCCCACCATGCACAAAGTTTAATGAGATCGTTGCATACTGTTGCTTGAACAAGTTTTATATGCTTTAATCCAAATGCTTGGAGGATTCGGTTACCACAATTCTACCTTTATTGAGTGTGACTCAGCAACTCTTAAGTCTGTAATTTACCACATATCATTGTGTGTGGAGTTGGAAAAGGAGGTGTGTAACTCAATGCTTCTGTTTCAGTCACCTTGGTGATGCAACAGCACCGCTCTAAAAATAAAAAGACAAAATCCTGTTTCTTTTGTTTGAATATGGGTTTGAAGTTGTTACAGTGGATTTGTTATGATGTAGCTCTGCTTTTTGGCAAGCTTGCTTTAGCGTTGTCTCTCTGCCAAGGAGACAGGTGATTGTCTGTTATGCTTAGCACATTAAGGAAATTTATGTTTAAAATCTAACTTGAGGGTGTTATACAGTGTTTAGTGGCTCCTGATAATTTTAATTTCTTGAGGTGTTAGATTACAAGAAATGTGTCTATACCACATGACTTGTAAGGGGAGCCTCTAGAAATGTTTTACTCTCATTTTTAAAAAACAGTGCTGCCGTGTTAGTTTAATTTTCTGGCTAGTCCACTCATTACCGCTAATCTAAACTGTTTTCATGAGAAGCATTATGACGTACTTCTCTGTATTTGCATCAAGTTCCTATTGTATCTGAGGCTTTGTCTTTATGCAAACTTAAACTTGTTTAACTAAGTCTGATTGTTCTGGGTGTGTTGTGGTGGTTTGTTTTTTTTTTTTTTACTGACTTATGTAAGCTGATTCGACTTAATGTGGATAAACTTAATTTCATTTTTAAACCTGGAGAGCCAGATATAAACAGATATGCATATCCAACTAGGGATTTTCACTGGTGTAACTAAATCACACCTTTAGTTAAACCAACTAGCTCAAGTTTGTGTGCCAACTAGGTCTGAGAGTGCCTTACTTTTAGGCTTTCCTGCAAGAAACAGGTAATCCAGAACTGCTAACTTCAACTCTGTTCAGTAGGGACAGGTGCCCCTTTCCACCAGCATTCATCACAGATATTGCCCAAGTAAGAGATGTAGCATAGGACCTTGGAACAGTAGCTGTTGTTTAGTGAATTGCATGTGGAACTAGGGATTGAGATCAGCATTCTATTTCTGGCTCTCTGTAACCTTGGGTGAGTCACTTAATCTTCTCTGTGTCCATTTCCCCACTTGTACAATGGAAGGAATAATACTTCCCTCCCTAAGCTTTGTAAAGTACTCTGAGATCTCTACATTAAGGGCATTATAGAAGTGCAGAGTATGTCTACATATTTATGCACTGGGGAGGAAAGGTCAGATCTGCTTTTAGTATAAACAAAAGTAGTCTACTTAAATACAGAATTGGATAATGAAAGTTACCATCTCCAGATTACGGACAGAAACTTTCCAGTCTCTCTTCTTTAATGCTCTCATGCTTTGATATTTGTAGGAGTAGGGTTGCCAATTTTGGTTGAACGTATTCCTGGAGGTTTCATCAAATTACATAGTCTTTAATTAAAGATTAATCTTTAATTCCTGAAGACTCCCGTACAATCCAGGAGGGTTGGCAACCCTATACAGGAGTCTTGTTATGCAGAAAATCTGTTGGACTGGTATAAAAACAAAAACAACAAAAAACAGATAAGTCAGCAAGGTGATCTGACACACCCTCAAATTTCATGAGAAGTCATGATACTACTCAGTACACCAGTCTCTCTAGCTCCAGATATGTGTGCAGGCAGTCCTCTTTTCTATGTGAAGTGTTAACATGGGACATTTTGCTGAACTTACGCTGGGTAGTCTTACATCCAGTGTTCACCATTACTTTGCCATCAATCCTAGTTTTAACATCCTGGTAATGTTAAAGTGGCAGGGGGAAAATATAGGTTTTATTTCAAGCCACAGAGGAGGACTTGGATATATCCGTTCAGCACTGAGGAAGAATGATATTGATGCAGGGAAACACCGGTGCATTCATCTTCAGCTATAGGATAAGACTATTGCGAGAGAATTGGACTGAACAGCTTTGAACTCTGGGATCCTCTGTACCTCTCTTGAGATGTACCTCTTCCACAGAGCCATAGTGTAATTCAGGTAGGCCCCACTCCAGCAAAGCACATGAGTAGACCCTTTGGCTTCAATTGGACTACTTGCTTAAGGTTAAGCATATGCTGAGTCATGGCCCTAGAGTCCTTCCTTAGCTTGCCTCTTGTGAGTGTTTATAAGTCACCAATTGCTGCAATATCAGAGTACCAGAAAGCTTAGAAGATTCTTGGAAAACCACAGTTATACACTAGTTTAATAAGGCCTCAGATTTCTCTGCTTTCCTGCTTCGCTACCCACAGTACAGTCATGTCATCTCTTCTGTGTCATGAGGCACTGATTGGCTGTTGCCTGGGATGTAACAGGACAGTTTCTTCTAGCTCTGGGAGAAGGGTGCATTCTTAACCAGAGCACTCTTCTCCATGCTTTGTTTCTAGAATGTGATTTCCAAAAGCACTCTGTGTTGGCCTAACTCTGCTCCCATTGAGGTCAATTAAAGTTTTTTCATTGACTTCAATGAGAGCAGAGTAAGGCCAGCTCAGAGTGCTTTTGAGAATCCCACCCCTAACACTCCAGGAACAAATTGATTAAGAATTGCAGTATCAGCAGTACTTGTGCCTGCCTCTGAAGATCTAGGCAATGAAAAATGATGGCCCTTCCAGAATTCATGTAATGTTATACTAATAAGTTAGTGTTGCACTTATCAGCAGACAAAGCATTTTCTCTCCTGATGACTTGCAGATACTAAATGGCTGCAGCTGATTCTTGTATCATTCCTTAAATAGATGTTAGAATGCATAGAAAACCAAACTTGTGTTATGCTGCTAAAAATAAAAGTAATATCTTAACTGAGAGAGAAAAAAGGCCTTGCTAACTGATCTGACTCAAATGTTTGGGGCCATTAGATACTGACATCAAATTTCTCTTTCCATCTTCCACCACTTTCTGTAGCAAACTCAAGTCAAGAACGAGGATAAGTGGTAGAGAAATATAGTCCCATTCTCCAGACAAGGCACGATGGAGTCCTGCATCCCACCTTCTACTTGGCATTCAGCCCTTAGATCTCCATCAGATCTCACTCGTAAACAGTTTTTTTTTATTTTGACAACTTAGCTTCAGGTGCGACATTAGATGCTATGTGTGTGATTTATTTATTTTTAATTTTGCGAATGTTTAACACGTGCACACTGCATCAGATAAATAGCCTTGGAAACTGACTTCTTGTACAGCGGGGGAAAGTACAGTGCAGGCAGTGTCAGGAACAGTTTCCTAGCCTGGTCTTGAACCCTGTTCTGTAGGGACCTTCTCTAGAGACAGAATGGCATTTGAGTTTTCCTTCAGTCTGAATTCCCCGTGGAGGTGCTAGTTAGGATGTGGATGGTTGTCGCACTGGTGATCTCAGTCCAGATCCCAGTGATCACACAGTGACAACTTTTAGCCACTGCGGACGTGGTTGGGACTCAAACTGGTGCCCTAGAGATCTCACCAGTAATCTCATGAGCCGCCCTACTGGCCTGTCCGGCACTGATATGGAAAGCACAGTTCAGAGCAGGCAGCTAACTGAAGAAAATTCCAAGTAAAGGAGTGAGCAGAAAATCTGTTTTTAAATATGTTCTCCATCTCCCCAAGTTTAAAGGGCTGGATACAATGAATGAATAGAATGCACTTGCTCTAGAAAGCAGTGAATGCAGATATGGGACTAATGCTTTCCTACAGTTTTTATGTTTATACATGTTTCTATAAATTAGCTTTCTAGTTTCTGGTTTTGTGTACTCGGGTGTGTAATGGAAAAGATTGGATGGGCTTTTTTTAGTTACCTTTGACTCAAACTGGTAAGGGGTGTAACTTTTTTTTGCATACGCCCTGTGTCAGTCTAAAAGTCTGTGTTTGGGGATTTACCCCAAAAGAGGGAAGTGTTGCTGATGCTTCTGATCTCCTTCTGGGTTTTCTGCTGGAGAAGGAGCATGAAGTTGCACTCAGATTTCCCCTGCAGAGGCTGCTGTGGGAGCGCACTAAATCCGTGTATTCCCTTGCTGCCCTGTCCATGTCTCACTCTTGCCAGTCCTGCCAACTATTCATTGGTCCCCGGGTGGAACTGCAGCTTTCCGCTCCTGTAACTTTGCCACCACCTTGCCCACATTTTCAAAATACTTCCTACCAGCACAAAAGCTAGTACAGTGTATAGCCCTGGGATGAATCTGGACCTAAAGCTGTCCTGCCCTATGTTTTGCTGAATTTGCATGTCAGAATTAGCCTTGAGCCAGTCTGAGTGTAAATTCCGTGTCTTGCTGGTATATAGAGTGCATGATTGCAGGCTCATTAACATAATTGATGCTTATAAGGAACTGATCCTTGGCTTTTCTGTGTAAAGCGTTCAAACCAAGCTTGACTCTTCCCCCTCCCTCCCCCCATAGAATATTTATACATCACAGCAAGCCTAACTACTGCTGGTTAGTGTTCTTCCATATCTATTGGGGACTATATGAAGAAGTTGTTCTCTTTCTAGCATAAGGGGCTGTTCCACAATCTCTTAGAGTGTCACCCTGGAAAAGTTGATTCTCAGAGCACTAGATGGCTCGGCAGTAATAGAGGATGATTCTCTGCTATGGCGATCAAGGCCTCTGTGTCCGTGTGTGGACGGTGTGGTACTGGTAGCACATAGATATGGAGTACTTAGTGCTTTTTTTTTTTTTTTAAAGAAACAACTTTTTAGAACCAGGCCCAGTAACTATTAAATCCTTTTGTGGGGGTGGGGTTGTGGTTGTGTCCTTGCTGAATACCAACACCGCATTCTTTTCTGTGCAGGGTCTTTTTAGAAACAATATTATGTGCCAGGATAAAAAATTTGGCAGCTATGATAATTAATTCTACCTTGGTATTCTTCCTCTTTTTTAAAAAAATATAGTCCCATCTTTAAATGTTATTTAAAACTCAATCTTTAAAATGGCTTCCTCTTTCTTTATACCCTGAGTGGGAGAGAAGCTCAAAATTAGGCTGTTCCAGCAAATCTAGTTCTCCCTATGGAACTTTTGTTACAATTGGTTTAAAAAGAGAGACAGCCCTGCTGACAAAGCTAGGCTACTGGTGGTAGATATGTGTGGCGTCTACCGGTCAGTAGTACAGAGAGGAAATGAAGCAGAGGTTTCTGGTTCTTTAGCAAAGGAGATGATGAGAGTTCATGGGGTATCTGATGTGTCTAGAGAGGAAGTGTACGTTTGATGGTAGGTAAGTAGGTATTGTGAGGGGGGAATATCCAGGGGAAGATGGTCTTGAGGGAGGCGATAATGGATCTCTCCATGAGTAGGGGGTGTCTCTGAGAGAATGGCCTTCCTCACAACCAGGGGTGCTGGACCGATTTTTATAGTGGGGGGTGCTGAGAGCCATTGAACCAAACTGTAAACCCTGTAAATGAAGAAAACCACTTCAAGCCAAGAGGTGCGACAGCACCCCTAGTTCCAGCACCTGTGCTTACAACCCTGTTTCAATGGGGGCAGCAGGCTGCTAATATACTTTTTGTCCGGCACATAGATACAAGCTCTTCTGTAGCAAATATTCAAGCATATCACTCTTTATACACCTGGAAGGGATATAGGAACAAGGCTTAAAAGCTTTATGCGCAGACTGAAAAATCTGAATTGGTCCAGAGTTCCTGCTAGAGACCAGGCTACTGCCTTCCCCTTGCATAGCCATTGCTCAAGGGGCCTTTGCAAAATCACAGCCCAATCATGGAAGCTGTCTCTTTGCTGTTTATTGCTACAATATACAATCTTTCTGTTCTTTACCCACTGCAGCCAGCCAAATGGCACTTTTCAAAGATGGCATTACTTGTTTCAATATTGTTGCACACAAAGAAAGTTGCTCTTTCTCTTTTAAGAAGAGTCTTTCAAAACCATTTTTTCCCCCTCACTTTTTGTTTCAGGAGAACAAACTGTTTTGGAGACCCCTGAAGCAAGAAGTTTAAGGCATTGGTGGTAAGTATCAGGTTCATAACTGACCCTCTTACAGAAGCACGTGGTATCATCACTAATAAAATAACCAAATCCCTTCCTGTTGGGCAAAACTCTCTCTGCCTTCTTCCTTGTTTGAATATTAAAAAGGTATTGGCTGTGCCAGAACAGTGTTCTCACTGGGTGTGCTTTGTAAACACACATCAGCTTAAATTCTGTAGACCCATAATCTCGTGTCTGTACATAGACGCCAACTGTTTTATCGATCATATGTATACCTGCATGTGCCTCAGAGGAAGTCATAAAAACCTCTAAAATAAATTTACTATACCAAAACTGTCATGATATTATGGATTCGTATCTCAGGACTCAGGAGAGGATTAATGGTGACTATTTAAAACTGCTTAAAGGCTTGGAGTGTTAGAATCTGCTTCAGGGAGATGGATTAGTGGACCGAAGGCAGGTTTTCATCAGTGGTGCATGATCAATAAAATTTAGCATAAAATTTTAGAATCATTACATGGTTCCACTGTCTCGTGGCTCTCCAGTTTATTAAATGAATATCACCTCTGGATACATAGCATGTGTCTGTTTATATTATAGTGGCACCGAGGGACCCTGATCAGGATTGGGCCCCATTGTGTTTAAGTGCTGTACAAACATGGAAGTAGTCGTAAAAATATTAAGAAAAAGCTTGGACACGTTCAAAGACTTAAGCCAGATACTTTTTCTAGTTGCCGAACGTACAGCTATGAAGGCATGGAAAAATCCCAATCGTGCCCTCATACTTTCTCGAAGTCCAGCCAACTGTTTAACTTCATATACACCTCTACCTCGATATAACGCGCCCCGATATAACACGAATTCGGATATAACGCAGTAAAGCAGCGCTCCGGGAGTGCAGGGCTGCGCACTCCGGTGGATCAAAGCAAGTTCGATATAATGCGGTTTCACCTATATCGCGGTAAGATCTTTTTGGCTCCTGAGGACAGCGTTATAACAAGGTAGAGGTGTATATGCTTAGACTAGCTTATAAAGGATGGAGTCTCTTTTTGGATTTTGCCTTCTAACACCGGAGACGTTCATTTTGTATACATGCAGGCGGCGCTAGCTTACAAGTGAGAAGAACTCTCAACAGTTCTCTTCCATAACATAGTCGAGCTTGATTGCTCCTTCCCCATGGGAGGGGCCAAAGGGGGAGCATTTCTGCTAGCTTTTGCTTTTCCTTGTGGAGTTTTGTCCAGATTGCTCCATTGGAGGAGAAGTTTGTAGGGCTGCTCAGTGCTGTGCTTCTCATAACACCTACATTTGGTAGCCCCCAGCAGGACTGCAGCGTCTCCTTCAGGCCACTGGGGTAAGGAACTATAAACAGAAAATCTGTCTGTCTTCCCCTGCTCTCATTGCTGGCAGGGCTGTCCTTACCCATACGCAAAGTACGCAGTTGTGTAGGGCACCAGGAAATTTCCTGGTGCCCTGCACAGCTGCGTGCTGCTCCAGCCCCAGCCCCGCCCCCACTCCCCTGAGGACTGCAGCATGGCCTGGCCTGCACTCACTGGCGGTGGGAAGTGCAGACCCTGCCCCAGCCTTGCTGCTGGTGAGTGCTGGGGGGTGGTTCCCCCCTGCCCCCCAAGCCAGCCCCCCCCCCCCCCCGGCCCGGGGCCCCCCCCCCCTGGGGGCCCGGGGACAGCCCCCCTGCTCTCCCCCCTGCAGAGGCCTGTCCCCCCCCTCGGGGGAGAGGGGGGGGCTGCGTAGGGCCCCAGAATAGCTAGGGACGGCCCTGATTGCTGGGGCCCACTCTGCCCTGCAAAGTTTGGTGGGCGTAAGCACCTTGTGTCATCCTAGTTGTGCATGTATTTACACCAAAATTTGTCTCCTGCCAATGTAAGCACCTTGTTACAGCAACACAATAACTGTGTGTCCACCTTTGTTGGATGTAAATAGGGGGAAACCACATGAAAAATAAGGGACAACACTTTATTTTAAACAACATTTTAGAGAAGTATCATTTCCCTTAGCATATTGTGTATTTTTTCCTTGGGTGTTCATTTCTGTTGCCCTCAAGTATACAATGCAGTTATCACAAGCTGCAATTTTAAGGTTTAAAATGGTAACTATCAGTTTTAATACATTTCAGTACATCTGTTTTAAAATCAATTAATAACCGTGTACATGTGCAATTGAAATTAAAGTTAATTTGAAGCGTAACATTGCAGAAACCAACTAAATATTGATTCTGTTAATCTGTCCAGATCTGTTTACACGAGGAAAATAATCTTTTTACTGCTACATTAAAGATAGGAATGGATGTAATAAATTCCACAAGTTTTAAGAAATTGGGATAAGGAGGAGCTGGCTACCATGTTTTAAAGCTGACCTTTTCCCCTGCACACAGTACTCTCTGAACCTTCTTTGCGGTAAAACATCTTTGTTCATATGTGGTAAGCATTTGCTGTATACTTAGAATTCTGGAAAGGGAAAGGTTCATTAATGGCTTTCTTAGTTCTTCCTAGCATCTCCTTACCTGTGTTATGAGTGCCTGTTAAAACATGATCAATATTCAGCAAAGTCTCAAAGAAGAAGCCATATCCATGATTTTTATTTCAGATGTGCAATTCATTGCAGTCTTAGGACAACATAAAAGGAGAACCTTTTTTTTAGTGTGGTTAGCTTATTAAAAAGCTACGTTTCTTCAGGCTGAATTCTACACTGAAAACAAGGTTTAACCAACAGTTACATTGCTTAGTGCTGCTCTGCAAAGGTTTGATTTGGCCTTCCCTTACTCATGTGACAAATCAATGACATAAGGGAGTCAAGGGATGGGATGGACACCCTAACAATAACACCACCTCCCTGTGTGGTGTAAAGCTGTGGTCATCCTATTTAGGCTGACCCAGTGCGAGTGTAGCTGCTGTATTTTTGTGTTGACTTTTGTGAGTCCTTCAGTAGCTGTCCCACAATACCCCTGTTCCTGCAAAAGTGGTTGTTCTGGTCAGTTTTGAACTCCATTGCCCAGGAGTCGTAGAAACCCAAAACCTGCTGCCCCCTCCCCCCGCAGCCCCTTTGGGTTTTTGAAACGCTGTTTCGTGATGGCCTGCCTTGGTGAGCACACCTACGAGCTCACCCTTGTGGGTGTCCAACCATGCAGAGCTCCTTAGCTGCTAAAGCAGGCAAAACATCATGGAACCCCTTGGACAGGGGAGAAGAGGCTGCGTAAGCACAACTACTGAACAGCCACAGAAGTATTGATCTCTGTGCGCCAATCATGCAGGGGGATGCTGAAACAGGGACGAGCAGCAGGGTTCCGTGAAAGCAAAGAAACTTCGTCATGGTTTCCAGAAGGCCAGAGAGGGCAGCAACAAATCTGGTGCTGTCCTGCAGGCCAGTTGCTTCTACATTGAGCTGCATGCCATACTTCACCCTGCAGACCACTATGGTCACTTTGCAGGAGCCCAAGGTGGAGACTCCTGCCAGCAGGAGGTGGATGGATGGGGACATAAAGATGCGACGGTGGACTCAAAGCATGCTGCAAGCCAGGAATTGTCTGTAACTTGGCCAGAGTCGAACCAGCCCCTCTATACACGCATGGATGAACCTGCTGGTGAAGGAGAAGGGAGTTTGGTAAGTGCCTGTGTGCATTTTTCCTTTTTGTTTTCACTTTTTTTGCTTTTCATTGCCCAAAACTTCACCTCCCTCCCTCTGTGCCCTTCTTCCCCATTTAGAAATGGCATCCATCCCATCTGCAATCTTAGAACTCCCTTTTGAAGGCTTTCTTCCCTAATGTAATGGGAATAGGGAATAAATTCAAAAACACTGTTATGGCAGTTGGATTATGCAGTCCCCTTCAGATCAGTGTCCTGTGCTCGGGTAGAGGTAGAACAAACAGAGGTAGTTGGCATCTGCTTTTCAATTCTTTGGCTTGTTGAGCTAGGCAGGGAGCCCAGGCAGAGTACTTTATCTGTATAGGGTTGTCTGTTTTAGTCTCTTGAGAGATCTCAATGAAATTTACATGGAGATACTTTACAGTCCTTTCCCAAAGATTTCTAGGGATGGCAGCCTTGTTTCTTCTACTAAGATAGGAGACTTTCCATGCCACTCTGTGATGAGTACTGCAGTGGTGCCAGGCGAAAACCGGCTTGGAGCCCACGGGCAGCTTTGGGATGCTGCTAGCAGCTGGGTTCTCTCCCTTTGTGCCTCATGAGTTAATATCCACCCAGATTGCTGCGGCCTGTGGAAAGTATTGCCAGCACACTCAGCACTTTCCTTGTACCTATACCAGGTAGGGGAGCCCAACATTTTATAGTTTCCGCAGTCCTCTTCTCCTCTCTTCCCTTCCCCTCCCCCCCACTAGGCCATACTGACTATGGTTTGAGCTGCATAATGGTGCTGTATTGATAAGCTCCAAAGCTGAAGTGACAATTAGGGCTTGTCTATACTTACGCGCTGGTTCGGCGGCAGGCAATCGAACTTCTGGGTTCGATTTATCGCGTCTTGTCTGGACGCGATAAATCGAACCCAGAAGTTCGATTGCCGTCGACTCCGGTAATCCTGCTCGGCGCGAGGAGTACGCGGAGTCGACGGGGGAGCCTGCCTGCCGCGTCTGGTCCGCGGTAAGTTCAAACTAAGGTACGTCGACTTCAGCTACGTTATTCACGTAGCTGAAGTTGCGTACCTTAGTTCGAATTGGGGGGTTAGTGTAGACCAGGCCTTAGTGTTTCTAAAGGTATTTATGGGAGTAAGGGAAAGGAGTTCTGACACTTTTCCCTTTTCTGTGGTGGTTGCAAATCTAATGGTGCATTTTTCTGTTTTCAGCAGCAGCATGAGGCATGGTGGCCTCGAGGGGTGCCCCTCTGCACCTGCTGAACGTCTGACCCTCAACAGGAGGAGCAAGAAGAGGATTAGGAGGATCTGTTCTGCGAGATCCTCCAATCCTCTATGACCTCAGAGAGTGAATGCAGGGCTTGGAAAGGCCCCATGACCATGGGAAAGGTCTGGGAATGGAGAGAGTGGTTACTGCAGGAGAAGCA